AAAACTCTGATGAATAAGCTTAGGGCTCAAATGGATAAAGTAGACAGTACTCAACAGCAGACGGGCAATGAAAGTACACATAAGAGTTCTAAGAAAGAACCAAAACAAGCAAACAAACATAAAAACGGTAGCACAGATCGAAAACACTGTAACTGAAATAAAGAATGTTTTTAATTGGCTTATTAATAGACTGAACAAGGCTGAGAAAAGAATCTCTGTGCTTGAAAATACATCAATAGAAACTTCAAAATCTGAAAAGCAAAGAGAACTAAGACAGAAATGAAAACATAATATCCAAGGACTGTGGGAAAACTACAAAATTGTCCCATGGGATAATGAGAATACCACCCCCCCAAAAAGAAAGAGAGACAGAAAGAAACAGAAGGTATATTTAGAATAATAATGCCTGAGAGCTTCCACAGATTAATGCGAGACACCAAACCAAAGACCCAGGACTCAGAGAATATTAACCATGATAAATACCAAAAACTACATGTAAGCATATCATTATTAAAACACAGAAAATGAAAATTAAAAAAAAAATCTACAAAAAGGAAAAGGGAACAAAATCTTACTTATAGAGAAAAAAAAGACAAGAATTACATTTAAAATCTGCTCAGAATCCATGCAAGTAAGAAGTCAGTGAAATGAAACACTCAAAGTGTTGAGAGAAGAAACCCACCAACTTGGAGTTCTCTACCCTGTAAAATCATCCTTCGAAAGCAAAGGAAAAATAAAGACTTTCTCATATGAACAAAAATTAAGGAAATCTGCTGCCAGTGTAAATGTCTTGCAAGAAATATGAAAAGAATTTCTGTTAACAGAAGAATAAGATGCATATAGGTCAGAAATCTTGATCTCCAGTAAAAAAAGGAAGAGAATTAAAGAAAAAATAAGTGGAAGTAAAATAAAAGATTTTATTATTCTTATTCTGAATTGATCTAACATATAATAGGTTGTACCCAATAATAGTGGAAAAAATGTATAAAGTTATGTATGCTTTTACACACACACACACACACACACACACACACACACACACACACACAATTTTAAAATAGAAAGTCAATAGAGAAAGTCAAAAACAAAGAACAAAATATCTGGTTCTTCGGAAAGATAAATAGAATTAATAATCCTATAACAAGGCTATGGATAAAGAGGACCAGAACAACCAATATGAGGAATGAGAGCAGGGACATCACTACAGATCTTGTGGACATAAAAGGGTAATAAAGATATACTATGACTAATTCTCTTCCACACATTTGAAAACTTAGATAAAATGGATCAAATCCTCACAAGATACAATTAACAAAATTCACACAATATGAATAAGCATATATCTGTTAT